TCGACCTTCATCTGAGAGTGTCTTCGCAAGAATTCGACATTGGAGAGGGCGAGAAGAGATTTTTTTCTAGCAATGGCGGGGAGCGGGAACAAATTCTTAGCTTCAGTAGTGGAAAAGACCTGGAGAGTCCAGGAGAGGGGGTAAAGGTGTAGGTAGGGGTGGTTTTTTAGGTGTGAGGGGAGAGAGAAGAAGAAGCTTTAGACCTTCGATTGGAAGGTCATCGGACGAATTCGGAACTGGGGAGGAACAGGAGTGGTTTAATTCTAGCGATGGCGGGGTTAAGGAGGGGTTTCGTAGCTCAAGTGGCGAAAGGAGCTTGGAGGATTTCAGAGATAGGGGGAGAGGTGGAGGAGGAAGGAGCGAAGATTTAGGGAATTTTACATTGAGGGATCAGTTTCGTAGCTCTGTTGGCGAAGGGAATGGGGAGAGTTTTAGGGGTAGCAGTAGAGAAATGAAGGGAGGTAGAGGAAGATTCAGAGAGTTACTTGATGATCGATGGAGAGAAAATGCCAGCAGACCTCCGAGTCCTTACTACAAGGATTCCAATTCAGAGTCTGGAGCCCCTGAACGCTGGAATTCAACACAGGAGGCCAGAGGGGTGAGAGGGAATTACAGGAGTAGCGGGCGTGGTAGAGGTGCTTTAGGAGGCCGAGGTGGTTCTTTCAAGGGCGGACGGTCCTCGAGCGACTTTAGAGGGAATAGATTTGGTGAGGATGGTAGAGTTCAGGACTCTAGAGAGAGATTTGGCGTGAATTCTCCAAAGACTCCACGACGTGGGCAGTTGTTTGAGGGAGAAGAAAAATGGCAAAGGAAGGTCAGGAAGAAAAAAGCCCAGACTAGTTTTCTTCAGGACTATGACGAGAGCCTTAGTGATGATCCTGGGGAACGCGGGCGTGGTTATCAGGATGTGAATGAGAATAACGTAGGAGAAAGTGAAGGAGGCGACGAGGGAGGTGTAGAAGTATGGAGGAGGAAGAAGATTGGTTGGCTATGCAAAGAGATTCCAGCTCTGAGACCTGGTGGCATCGTAACAATGTTGAATTCGCAAAGGAAATGGATCAAGGCTGTCGACGCCAAGGAAGTGGTGGAAACTCTCATGCGTCGTGATGAAATTTTGCGTGCTTACAGAGTAGATTCTCGTCACTGATATTTTTCCATAAATTCCGATATTCTTTGATTGAGCCGATTGTTGTATGGACTGGTTTCTTTTTCTTTTTGCGTTTTCGAAATTTAAAATTTAAAATAAACTCGGCTTTATGAATTGTACCTTTGGGTATATTTTAGGGTGCTTCGCTGTCCCTGGTGATCATGTAGTCACTTTGCTGTAGAATTCATGCATTCTGTTTTGAAACCAAGTATCATTCTGAGTACTTAAGCAATTGGTAACACTTGAGGAGGCTTTACGTCGTCACGCATCCTAGCTGATCTGTATTGTGGTTTTGAATGTGAAGGTTTTGAAGTGGACCATGCAGCAACCGTGGTACGAGAATGACTTCGATTTGAACACGAAAATGGTTAATACATTGGGTACCAAAGGCAAGCTAATGCGCATGCGTGAGCTGTTTGATACCATTATTGCAACTGGGGCCGTTCCTGATATTTCAACGTACATTATATTGATCAAAGCTGACATTGCAGATGGATCAGGAGACTCTCTTGATCATGCTTTTGCAATCTACAATCAGATGGAGCAGCTTGGAGGCTATCAACAGCCAGCAGCATTGGCATACACCCTTTCCCAGGCCTTCACTGACCGCAAAGGAGCGACGCATATTAGAAATCTTCTCAAAGCAGATGCTTTATTCGAGAATATGAGGAAAAAAAGTGTTTTGTGGTGTATGGGTCTGAATTCAACCCAGTGGGCTGTAATTTTTTCTGGAGTAATACATATGCACAGTTTTCAGGGCAACGTGGCAAGGGTTAAAGACTTAGTTGCGGATATGAAAGAGGCAGCATTGCCTTTAAGCCGTGATTGTTATACCGCATTAATAAGAGTAGCTGCAAAGGATGGTAATATTACTGAAGCTGAGAGTGTCTTCAAAGATCTTCTATCTGCCGGTCACCAACCGGACTGGCGGAGTTACATTTCTCTCATTGAGACCTATGGCGCAGGAGGCCTGCCCGACAAAGTGCAGAGCACTTTTGATAAAATGGTAGCGGAGGGGATCCATATTAATTTGAATGTGTATCAAGCAGTGATTAAAGCAATGATCAAAATGGGGAGTATAGAGGGAGCACTATCTGCACTTGAGAAGGCTGAGGAAAAGTTTTCTTTCGCGTTGCACAACTCATACAATCTTTTAATGGAATGGTATAGAAGCAAGGATATGCTGGTCGACGTTGAGGTGGTAGTTGAGCGTATGAAGGAAAAGAAGTGCCGACCCAATCTTCAGGCTTACAATAATCTAATTGAGTCTTTTATCCTTCGAGGGCAACTGGATAAAGCTGAAGGGGTTTACGAGGACATGAATAATAAAGGATTTCAGCCGAACCTGCAAACATACTGCTTGATGATAGAAGCATTCTCGAGAGCAGAACGTCACGAGAGAGTGAAGGACTGTTACGCCCTTCTTACAGAACGGAAAATGGTACTCCCTGACGAGACAATGATTTACGTTGCGGATGTAGTAGGGGAGAAAAAAGTTGCTGAAGGAGAGAAAAAGGAGATAGTGAAACGGAAGTTAGTGCCGAAGCAGAGGCAGATACTGGTTGGGGTTTTATTGGGAGGGGCTCAAATAATTTCCCATGATTGTAATCGGACATATGAGGTCTGTTTTAAACTTACTGATGCAACAGAGGCTGGTCCAATTCTGATCAATCACTTGTATGACATGTTCGCTGATTGGTCACAGCAAGCACCACGTATGGAAGTGGACGATGATCTCGGCAAGAAATACCATTTTTCCACTGTTAGTCATGTCTCGCTCCAATTTTATGCTCAACAGTATCGACCAGAGGGACAGCCAGTGATTCCTAGGTTAATTCACAGATGGTTAAATCCTCTATCGCTAGCATACTGGTACATGTATGGGGGTGAGAAGTGTAAGGAAACGAGAGGAATTATCTTGAATGCCTGTCAATATACTTCGATGGAGCTCACTCTCGTCGTAAAATCACTGAAAGCTGGAACTGTTGATTGCTTCGTAAGGAAGCGAAGGTCTGGGAACGTTTTATGCTTCACGGGTGAGTCTGCTGCGAGGATTTGGAAACTCATGGAACCTCATATTTTGGACGAGGTGAAGGATTTGTTGAGGCCGGATATTTCGTCTTCTATGGATGATACTGGGCTGAAAGACGAGCCTGAAGCGTTTGATGACGAGTTAGAATTGAAGGTGACGAATGAAGACGACCTGGTAAATGAGGACAATTTCATGAGAACCGATATTGGGGTTACTTATAATAACGATTCTGACCTAGATACTTGATAAAGCTTTATGCTTTTCCTGCTCTAGCCATCGAAAGCGCTACTTTGCTCACCTTTCACTAAAGATCAATTCACTTGCTGAAAAGTAGCATACACTGGTTACTTCATTACTGTATAATACATGATACTATTTTGTCTGTTTTTACAAAGAATGTATTAATACGATCCGGTGTAAAATACGTATCACGCTGTTACCACAAATTAAACATTGAAATTGGTAGGGCCTCACCACCAGAACCACGTATTTAGCTTAAATGTAGAAATAAGGATATCTTTGACACAATTGTAGACCAGTCATGAAATTGTAGATCAGACTTGGGATAAGAGGAGTATTAGCGTCTCTCTTTCTGATGATGTACACGCCGCCGTTGCAAGAGATTTTGTTCATACCTATCTGTGCACATAGTGTCAACCAGCGGGAGCTTTGGTATGCATGGAATCCTTACTTTAAAATTGTGCTCTCGGGTTTGAATCAATATTTAAATTCACTGACTGTTCTCCTCGTTCATTGTGATGTACCATTGTCCTGGCAATGAAGATTACCGACAAGAAGAAATCACGAAAAGTATGGTGACGTTTGGTCAGAGTCGCAACAAGTCATCTTCCAATGGTAATCACTTGGGAATATCATGAATATGATTATTTAACCTGTGAAAGCACTTTTGATATTGAAATCTTGCTCGACCTAGTAATATCCTTCCATGCTGTTTATTACCACTTTCAGCTCAATCTCCAAATGGAACTTCTCCATGAAAATCGTTTTCCACTTGCTTAGTGAATCAATTCACCAAATTATGCTGCAAGCGCAGTATCGTTCAGTATTACATCTCCTAACAATCAAAGATCCTCTCCACGCTGTACAAAGATAATTTCAGGAACCCTTCAGGAGAAGGAATCTCCTGTTTCCAGATCCTCTCGACGCTGTTGGCCACACAATCACAAAATATCACCTTCAAAATGCACACATAATTGCGAAATAGTACGCACATTTTTAGGGTAACAAAAAGTTGTCAAGCCACAAACAAACCACAAACAAATAAGAAAGTGCGGTAAATAGTGTCAATAATATTTTATCTGAGACAAAACGATGGCTTGAAGTGCCTACCAATGGCATATTGAATGATTGTAGGATAAAATCAGACATTTACTAATGAACACATTTGGTAGCAATTGTACCACTAGAAAAAGGACACATACATTTCGTAATATGCCCCCTACTGAATCTGGTTAGTCCGAGTCATCTAATTGCTTAGTATGTCGGCGGTCATGTGAAGGTCCAAAGCCCTGTACACAGCACATTCGATACAATCATAAGGCCGTATACCATGTCAAAAATCTACAATATTCTTCAGAAGAGCATATGTAACAAAAACATTCTAAACATGCAAAAAAGAACCTTGGAAATTTCCTCCTCCAACTTGACAATCAGAGCCTTTTGCTCCACCACTTGAGCTTTCAAATCCTTAATCTTCTGTTCCGCAGTAGCTGCTGTTTAAGTTTTTTCCCACAATTGTACCTATCCAATCAAATAAGAAATTCTAAAGCATTTAACAGTTTTCTTCTAATTTCTCGCTGAAACTCCTCAAGAATAACATCCTGCAACATATCTAGATATTGCTGAGTGGAAGAATATCAACAACTTCAACCAACCCTGTGCTAGCATTTCTTGACCAATATAACCTAAAGACTTCAGAAAGGTGTGAGGCATATAATTTCTAACCACAACACCACGACTATGAGAAGTGTCAATATGACATCGCTCCGAGCTAAAACGTTTCCAATCTCTAAAACGGATACAAGCTCTGCGGTCTTGTACCACAAGCATGGCTATTATCGAACACCCGAAAAGGAACGGTAGAATATAGCAGTAACATTGGCAAACCTTTATTTTGACATAACAATCTCAACTAACAATACAAAATGCAGAAAGCAATTGAATTTTGGATTGCTAATGCTTGCTCCAAGAAGAACTACACTAATTTACAGTAGATAACAATAAGCTTCGTCGCAGAATACTAGATTTAAAGACCTTATGTTTCTCGTGACATTGATTTGAGAGCTTGGATATACGTAACAACTACCTTTAAAAGCTTTAATGTACCTTTTCACTCAGAAGTGCCCTTGGTTTCTTCACATCAGAAATATGCACTTTACGTTCACTTTCCAAGGTAGTTTCCATGATGTGCAATTCGTGATGTAGCTCAGAGATAATCTTCTCTTAGCAGTCAAAGACACTTCTAGACTGCTGTTAGCCTCCTCATCCAGCCTGCGCAGGACAAGAATGAAGTAAATAATTATAAGATAGAGTGGGCAAAGACTTGAGAACTAAGTACATAATAATTAATCAAGATAGATAGAAGATGGTTGTGGATGCATAGAATTGGAGCAGAGAACTAACCGCTCCTGCAGTTGTGTATCTTGACTGTGCACTGACTGTAATTCCGACCGCAATTGCTCCTGCAATCACACCCAGATACAAATCAGAAATATTTGTTGAAAACAAAAGATTCAAACTAGATTCGCAAGGACAGCATCTACAAAGATACTGTTTAAGAAGATGCATTTGAATAAAATGAAATAAAAATATCACTAGATTGAGCGCGCAATTCAAACAACTAAAAGATTCAAATTAGATCCGTAAAGACAGCATCTACAAAGATACTGTTTAAGAAGATGCATTTGAATAAAATGAAATAAAAATATCACTAGATTGAGCGCGCAATTCAAACAACTGACTCTGTCCATACTCATGAAGCCTTTGCATATTCTGTGTCTTCTATTTAGCTGCCCGCAACTGTTCTTGTAAAAACTCTTCCCTGCAACCCCAATCGAACCACAGTCACAGTCAACAAACGGAATACTGACGATCTCTGGAATAATCAAGATTCTTAACGTAACTTACTCAAAAGTTTAATACACACAACCTTGTTCCGTCAATCATTCAGTTGCTATTTGTTTCTGCACCTCTCTCTTAGTATTTCGAGGCTTTTCTGATTCTCCTCTGCCAAGCTACACTTTTTCATCTCGACAATCTCTTTAATCTCGACATTTCTCTTCCACCTGTTACTAAAACAAGGCAAACATGGACCTTGTGAGTGAGCTTGGAATAAACTCAGAGGCGACAATGATTCCACAAGTGATTCGAGATAAACTGTCAGAACTAGAGGGATTCAAATCAGTAATCAGATCATACATAAAACCATCTATTACCAAATAGGTGTAATAAATCCATAGAGTATGCAATGAAATAGAAGAAAGACTTGAAATGAACTTCAAGACCAGAAGCTGGGAAGCAAGGCATTCATTTGGATAGATCGAAGGGACCTATTGTTCAAGAGAACACTTTCGTTCTTCTAAACTTCGTATGGTGGCTTGTTGATTCTTCAGATTGGCAACTTCTAAGCGATACTCCTCCAACTCTTGATTCATCTTCCAATTCTCCAACTCTAGCTCAGCAACTTTAGCTGGTGACTCCTACACGTGACCTTTATGTCCACATCAAAAAAATCCTTTTGAAACATGACTAGAATCTAAACAATTCTGAGTTGATATCCTCTGCCTAAGTAGAATTTCGGTAGAACGTCTTTAAAGTTTGTTACAAACTAAATCTGTAGCAGCGATGATAGGAAATTCAATCCTGGTTGTTCCTATAGTTTACAACTTAAACGCCTTTTAAGATTTCCGTGCACAATGGAAGACAACATTTATTCACGAAAGTAAATGATACAGGAGTTGACAAGGAAGACCTTTCTTACTGTGCCTGTAGTAAGAGCAGGAACGGGATCAGTGGCCTCAAAGAGCTTTCGATAAATATTAAGAAAAGTATTCTTTCCAATCTTTGCTCTTTTTGTAAGGTTATCCACCTCTTCTTCGTACCCCTTCAACAACAATATTGTATTGGAAAGTGGTATAATATGTAAAAGTAATATAAAATATTGTAAAAATTTGACTTTGAGATTTTGAGGAGTTCTTCTCCACTTTATAAGCTTTCCAAAAAGCTCTCACTCGTTTTGAGAGGAGTCAGTATGAACTAGTGGTGCCTTTTGGGATAAAGAAAGAACCAACCATTCTTCAAGGTTTTTTTTAAAGGTTTTTTCATAGTATATTTTGAATTTGGATTTGAGATTTTAAGAAGTTGATCCTCTCTATATAAGCTTTCCAAAAAGCTCTCACTCGCTTTGAAAGGAGCTAATATGAACCAACAGTGCTTATTTGAGAAAAACAAAAAAACCATCTATTTTTTATAGTTTTTCTTTGGAGGTTTTTTTAAAGTGTATTTTGAATTTGGATTTGATTTTTTGAGAATTTGATCATCTCTTTATAATCTTTCTAAAAAGCTCTCACTTGCTTTAAAGGAGTTAATATGAATTAATAGTGCATTTTTGAAAAAAAACAAAAACAAAAACAAAAACAAAAAAAAACAATCCATTTTTTAGGATTTTTCTTTGGAGTTTTTTTTATGGTATGTTTTGAATTTGGATTTCAAATTTTGAGGAATTTTTCTTTTCTTTATAAGATTTCTAAAATGCTCTAATTTTCTCCAAAAAGATTTAATATGAATTAGTGGTGCCTTTTTGAGAAAAAAAAATCTAGCTACTTTTCAAGGTTTTTTTTTTGAAGTTTTTTTAAAGTATATTTTGAATTTGAGCTTGAAATTTTGAGAAGTTTATTTTTTCTTCATAAGCTTTCTATAAAGCTCTTATTTTCTCTAAGAGAAGTTAGTATGAAGCTACGGTATCTTTTTTTTTGATAAAGAGTAGTCAATTACTTTGTATTAACATAATCCATGGCTTCATTTGCTCATAAAGTATATTATAGAGAGTTTTAGGAAGTGAAATTTTGTGTGTATATATAAAGATAAAGTAGCTCTTCAAAGAGCCATCACATATTTAAATTCAATAAAGTATAGAACTATGGCAATTAGTTGAATAAAAAATGGATGATAACTCTTACAAAGTATCATGAGTATGAGATGGTGGAATTCATTTGAATGAAAGATATTATTTGACCATATCTAATTACAACCATAAACTCTTTTTTTTAAATAAATGCTTTTATTTCAATATTTGTTACTTCTACTAAAAAAAACTTTAGGACTACTAGGTTGGTTAAGGCAAGATGGGAGATATAAAGTAAGGAGGTTCAAATAAAAGAGATAGTCAAAACTTTGTAGAGGAATTTTTAAAGACTATGTAGATATTTATGGACCAACAAGTTTCCAATACAAATGGACAAAGAGCCACTAAAGCATTGAAGAATATTATTTATAAAATAAGAAGGTTTGATGGAAAGAATATTACTAGATTTTTGACGATCTATACATGTGAAATAAAAATCTATTAAGTTTCAAAAGATAAAAAGATTGAAACCTTTGATCTAGTAGTTGTTTCAAA